TATGCAATAGTGAACGATTTCAAGTAATTTCCTTCATGACTAATTACCTATGTACNACAATTTGCCTACGTCCACGAAGCTGCAGGGATTTCACTGTTGAGAGAGTTGAATACAGAGAGCGGCTATACAATCCACACTTAATCCTAATCACCAAAATAACAGGGTTTATATGTCCTACGCACTGGGTTGTATAACGGGCCCAAAATTTTTTCCCTTCGCTCCATGGACTAAGCCTCAGAAATTTTTTCATTAAAAACCACACAACATTACTTCGGGTCGGGTCATCATCCGGATTACATATACAAACTAGACTTCAAAAAAAAACCCAACATTTATAACAATTGGTATCAAAGTTAGACATCACGTCGAGTATAAGATCAAACACAGTGTGTGCAGTGGCTCTTTATGGTCGAGTTACGGAAAGGGTAACTTAGTTGGATTAAATGACTTGGTATTATGTACGAGCATAATACTATTTTATTGAATACTAATAGGTGAATGGAACTACCAAAGGGAAAAAGTTATTATTGGGCCAGTGTCAATAGAGTAGGTTGTCGTGGACACCAATTAAGGAAGCGCGGTGGAATGTTATGATCTCATATTAGTTAAAAATAAGATTAGATGTATGTATATAAACTTATGGACATCTTTCACTTGCAAACTAGTTTTCAGAGAAAGTTTTATCCATTAATTTATAACCGCATCTTACTTCAACACATAAGGAGTGATTAATTTAAAATAAATTGAAAGGTATCTAGAATTTTGATAGGTATCTTAACCTAAAAGTTGAGGTAGAAGCAATGTGTGTGCAATATTCACAGTTTATCTAATGTTATATTTAGGAAGTTCTCAATTCATAAATGCACAACAATGATTAATATTGATTTAATTTTTATTTATTTTGATCCAATTACACAAAATTTATTTAATTTTTTTTTATTGCTAAAAAAATATGATATTTCTTTGCACGGCTAACAATGTAAGACAATTCAACCAACATTCCTTAGTGCTAGACAATCCTACATTTCACATTTACCTTTCTTTTCTCTCTCCTTACATTTTTCTTATTTGTTCTTTGTTCAATTTAAAATGTTCAATTACGTAATTAAATAAAAGAAAATAAAATAAAAAAATAGTTGCTATTTCAAATACAAATATTGTACAATCAAATTTTATTTTTTGATACTGCAGAGTGTTTTCAAGCACATGATTATTGCTTAGTAAACTTATAATATGTAAGCTTTTTTTTTTTTTTTGGCTTAACGATAAGAAGTGTTTAGGTCAATTTACGTACGTCTCAACTAATCCTCTCCCCGACCGGATCAAAGACCAACCATATAATATGTAGAGCAATGCTATAGAGACCTTATTTGGGGACCTAATGATGTGGCTTCAATACAAAAATTAGATTAGTTGTAAGTTTCAATGTTAAATGGTACCCACAACCAACCCAATGATCGTCTTGAATTAGATCCCTAGATTAGGTTCCCAAATAAATAACATTTTCCTGATGCGTAAGTTGTGTTTATGTTTTTCAATTTAGATGTGGAGGCTAAGACAATAAATGAGAGAGAGAGAGAAAATATGCAATAGTGAACGATTTCAAGTAATTTCCTTCATGACTAATTACCTATGTACCACCTAATTGTGGTTATTCATTTGGTATGGTTGTTAGTAGTAAAGATAAATGAAAATTTTGATAGAGTAAATATCTGGTGAAATACCAACCCTGGTCTCTTTCTTCATATTAGTCAAAATGACAGACTCATTATATGATTGCACATATATAATGTGAGAGGGTGAGAGTGTGGAAATGGTGGTTAATTTTTCCTATGCGTAATTATTTGAATAGGTAAGAATTACGTTAATTATGATTAACATTAATAGACCGAATCAAATCTATTCTTAATTATATAGTATTAGTGGTCACCTCCTGTAATGTATGACATTTACGGTATCTTGACACCCCCACCCCCACCCCCACCCTCACCCTCACCCTCACCCTTATTGGAACAACATTTCCAAGATTTGTTTATGACGTAAATAATTGATTATAAAAATTTTATTCGTCTATTAATCCTATAAGATAGAATTAAAATTTATCTTTGATGAGCAGAATAACACGAACAAAAATGATGCAAATTGAACAGTGGCACGACTTTTACTGTATGTTATTTTATGCCAAAATCCAAATGTAGTATAGGCTGTAATTCTCCAAATTTTTTTTCTGTTTTTTATTTCTGTCTCTTCTAAATGTGAAGGTAAAAATTATGATTGAGAGAGTCAGATAAAATATTAAGCTTGATTTTAAGCGTGTATAAATTTTAAGAAATTTATGTATAATATTCCAAATATTAAAAAATCTAAATAATTAAATGACGAACCTTAAGACAGTTCTCCCTAAAAAAAAGTGGCAAATTTAGCCAACAGTAAAAGTGGTCGCTGGTGTAACCGTTCCATCTCTTGTCTGTCTACCATTTCCCGCCAAATTCGCTGGGTTGTGGCCATTCCCTTTCCCCAAATTACAAACTAATCGAGCTCTTTCTCTCTCCGCCATCTCCGTCTCTCGTCCGCCCTCTGATACTGCGATTCGTCGCTTCTCTTCTTCAGGTCAGGTAATTCGCAAAGTAACTAAATTTCGTTTCTGAAACATTGAAATATTTTAGTTTTTAATGAAAAATCAAAACGAATCCGTTATTGAATATCGATATTTATAATTCGCAAAGTAACTAAATTTCGGTATATTTTGAGGTGTTTAGTATCTTTCGGTATATTTTGGAAATAAAATTTTAAATTTTCTCTTTATTTTTATCTCGTTTTCGAAATGTATCTGAAAACTTTCCATTTTCAAAGGTGACCCAAATTATGTACCGAAATAAAAATTTTGATCCTTGTGTCAAATGTCATTCAGATGTCAAAGGTTTTTAGAATATTTTGTACTTTCCTTTGCCATACTGTGCTCTGATTTTTGTATCTTGTCTCCTATTGAATGTTGGGTAATTGTTGTTTTGAAATATGGTTTGTGAGTTATTGAATGGTGGGTATGTATGCAACCTTAATCATGTGTTGTTTCTATGATTTGAACTCATGATAAAAAAATTAACTTTACCACTACGCTAAATCAGTTTTTGTTCATACTAGTTGATGCATACAATGATTCCCTTATTGGTGTAAGAAAATGTAGAATTCTAGAATGAAGTAACCAACTATATATACGTTAAAAATCATGATATTAATTCTTTAAAACTGTGCATATCTGCAACANTAGTAACCAACTATATATATACGTTAAAAATCATGATATTAATTCTTTAAAACTGTGCATATCTGCAACAATATCTTTTTTTTTTTAATAAAATGCTACAATATCCTCACTCTTGTAATTCTTCTAACTCCCGAGGTCCCTCTGATTTTTTAAAAAATCACCTCTTGACCTTTCAAATTCGATTTCATTTCAGAAGACTAAAGAGTTGGCACCGGAAAATATTGATTTGACTTGGGTTAAGCTAACTTGGCCCCCCAACAGTTTGAATTTTCTGGCTCAGCCCCTGGTAAAGGCATAGTTGGTTACATTATTATGAAGCAGTTTTTGAAATATCCCATTATGTATGATGATTTAGGTTTGACACAATTCAGATGAGTTATTATGCTAAACATGCCTGTTTTTTGTAATCTGAAACTTGATTCAAATCATGATCTGTTCAGCAGCAAGTTACTTATGTGTTAGTAAATTCCCAATACAAGTATTAAGGGTAGGGAGAGGATTTTGAACCCTATTTAACCCACAAAGTTTCCATGGTCTTTTATCTGCAGTATGCAATGCATAAGTTGACAGATTATTCTACCTAATTATGCTTTCCGTGTTCATTGGCTTGTAATGTATCATGAGTGATCCCAATTCACAATCATTATTGTGACCATGTCTTTAAGCAGCTGTAGTCCAAATAGTATTGTCATCCAGGCTCTTTCATGTTTCACATTCAAGTTTATTTGGCAAATTGTTTAAGTCTCTAAGTGGGTGATATCACAACCATTTTTATACTTTCTTGCGAGTGTGACCAGCTCAATAATCAATTTTTCTTTGAAGCAACAATCTACTCATACTATAGTGCACAAGGAATACTGACTCAGACATACATCCAATTTCACACATTCTTAATTGTGGGCATCTTCTCAGAATCAAAGTAGGTATTTTCTTTTTAATTTTTCCAACCAATGACTGGAATGCGAGTGTGAGTGGGCTTTTAACAGTATAACATCCATTGGCTATTCATAAAGAAGATGATTCTTTGCATTCATACAACTGTCATTTGTGGTACTTTCGGGTGAATTTGAATTTTTAGTCCACCTAATTTGGCATAAATGGCCAGTTTATTGACAAAAACATGAATAAGAATTTTCCTATTATAAATGGATGTGAAGTATCTTTTACTTCGGTAATGTAGACACATCAAAATCTATATATGCATATAAATGTTGCTTTAGGTGACATGATCTTTTCACATTGTCTGATGTTTTCAGTGGGGACGATTCTTGGATCAGTTCCATCAATCTGTGCCCTTGGAGGAATGGTTGTGGAAAGATGTATTACAAGTCCTTGTTTCATTTTTAATTTGATTGCCTTGTTACGCTGATGAAGAATATGCAGCTGTACAACAAATGGACCTTTAATCCCAGGGGAAGTTCATGAGCTTCAAGAGTAAACATTTTCAATTCTGGATGATTGAATGAATCTTTCACACCTTTAGGAAGAAAAAGTTATCATCCTTGCAATTGTGGTGATTGGGCAGCTTGTTCTCAACGTAAAATAGACAAATAAACCTATGTACAGTAAGCATAGGATTCATCAGGAAGCTCCAAGTCCCAATGGCGGGTGATTTCGATGTTTCCCAGAAGGCTCTCGATGATGGGGTTCCCGTCTCTGGGGAANCTCAACGTAAAATAGACAAATAAACCTATGTACAGTAAGCATAGGATTCATCAGGAAGCTCCAAGTCCCAATGGCTGGTGATTTCGATGTTTCCCAGAAGGCTCTCGATGATGGGGTTCCCGTCTCTGGGGAATCTGTGTTCTTGCATGGAGAATTGGATTTGTGGATTATGGAAGCAAGGTCTCTTCCAAATATGGATTTAGCTTCGGAAAATTTGAGAAAATGTTTTACTATGTTTGGGAATTGTGGACCACCCTTAGGCACAAAAAGTAAGAATTCAGGCAAGCATTCAAACCGGCATTCAATCATAACTAGTGACCCCTACGTGTCCATTTGCCTAAGAGGGGCTACTATAGCTAGAACTAGAGTAATTTCCAACTCCGAAAACCCTTTGTGGGATGAGCATTTTTGTGTACCAGTGGCTCACCCTGTTGTGAAAGTGGAGTTTCAGGTCAAGGATAACGATGTTCTGGGTGCTGAGCTAATTGGAGTTGTGGGAATATCTGCAGAAAAGATACTTTCAGGAAATACAATTAATGGTTGGTTTCCTATAGTTGGACCTTATGGGAATACTTCAAAACCTTATCCTGAATTGCATCTTTCTGTTAAATTTAGATCAGTTGAGGAGAACCCCCTATATAAGGATGGAGTTGGTGTTGGACCTGACTATGCTGGAGTTCCAAATACGTATTTTCCACTTCATAAAGGAGGGAGTGTGACGCTTTATCAGGATGCACATGTGCCTGATGGGATGCTACCTGAAATTTTACTTGACAATGGGAAAGTTTTTCAGCAAAACAAATGCTGGGAAGACATATGTCATGCAATATTGGAAGCTCACCACTTGGTTTATATTATTGGGTGGTCCATATACCATACAGTAAAGCTTGTGAGGGAGCCAACACGGCCTTTGCCTTCTGGAGGAGAACTTTCCCTTGGGGAACTGATGAAGTACAAATCCCAAGAAGGGGTTCGTGTGGTTATGCTCATCTGGGACGATAAAACTTCCCATGACAAACTTTTTCTGAAAACGGTAATGGTCATCGCTTACAGATTCTTCTTTTTTTGGTTGCTTTGGCTAATCAAAATTTGCTCATAGTTGACATTGAAAGACAATCTAACAATATGACCAATTCTGATCTTTTTAATACCAGACCTATTTCTTTCATTCTCTAGATTTCTGTTCTTTTTTTTTTGAATTTTTTAATGGTAACATTATGAGGATATGTTAATTGATGAGATGTACAGTAATTAAGTGAATTCATATTAGTGGCATATATGCAGTATTTTGTTTCATGGGCTTAAATGCAGGATGGAGTTATGCAAACTCATGATGAAGAAACCAGAAAGTTCTTCAGACACTCAAGTGTCCATTGTGTGCTTTGTCCTCGTTATGCGAGCAGTAAGCTTAGTGTGTTCAAGCAACAGGTGCGGAATTCTCCTATATTTGAAAGATAAGAATATAAGGTGACAGAAAACTACTTTTATGGATTCATCACTTATAGATATTCAATTGTTATATGTGAATTTTATCTATACATATTTCTGTTATGCCATACTAACTAGAAATCCAGATACAGATACCTATGCAATTTTTAAAAATTACATTGTCATCATGGAATTGGATGGAATTCTTAGTCCAGTTTTTTCGTTTCTTTTTCCGTTGACCATTTTTTCCCAGGTTGTGGGAACCCTTTTTACCCATCATCAAAAGTGTGTGCTTGTTGACACTCAAGCTCCTGGGAATAATCGGAAAATTACTGCTTTTATTGGTGGTCTGGATTTATGTGACGGCAGATATGACACTCCTGAGCACAGGCTATTTAATGATCTCGACACTGTCTTTGCAAATGATGTTCATAATCCAACATTTAATGTAAGTAACATTATAGCAAGGCTAAAATTTTGTTTTGATACATGAGCACTTGATTTTGAATAGATGGGCTTTCGAGAAAGTATGTAATGTAAACTTGAAATGTTTAATGGTCTTATCTGAGCATTGGAAACTTGTTTGGCACTCATTCTATTTGATCAATTTCTCAATTGTAATATTTTTCTTTTTCTATTTTTGATGTCAATATTTGAGATTCCACCATGTCTTGTGACAAAATGGTAATATGAGTTCCATGATCTATGTTTTCTGAATATTTCTGTGACACTAAGGCTAAGAGTTTGTACTTGTCAAATGGTAAACATGTCGAAAGCTTGTCACTCATATAATACATGACATTGGTGATGTTAATGATGCACGTTTAACCCCATGACTGGTAGCAATGGTGCTTGTTTGGTAGTAGTTCCCATCATACATTGTTATGTATCCAGGCCATGATTCTTCATCCGTTATATGCACGCATGGCTTGATAACAATGGTGCTTGCTCAACAGTTCTTGCCGCCACACTATGTGATGTAGTAAGGATGTGTTTGTGTGTCCTAGTAGTTCAAGTGGCCTCATTGCATTTCCATATATTAGAAGTGAAAAATCATTTTGGGGGAGCGGATCATTGAAGAATTGAGACTTGACCTTGTATGATGGTGTGGAATCATATTTGGTTTTCCCAGGAATTTTATGTATATATGATTCAGTAATGGCTCCCTTCAATGTGGTAGATTACACCTTGATTATATGGAAAATGCGGGAAGGCCATCCATTTTCTGAAAACTATTGAATTGTTACTTCCTTCCCTTTGTATTGGATCTTATGAGGTCTGTTTAATAATGTTCAGATTAATTATTTCTGTAGCTTGTTGGTCGACTTGCTAATCAGCTCGACCTCTTTTCATTGGTAAATCACTTTTTGTCGTCTGTCAAATAATCTATATACTTATTGGAGTGTCAATCTACTTTGCTTAGGATTTAAGGTTTAGGGTTTAGGTGACTTCCTCCTAGTAGGGAGGTAGCTAGGCAAACTGGTTCTTTGTGGCTTTCCTCCAGGCTATGTTTTCATTCCTTCAGGACTTGCTCATTCCCATCCTTCTATTGTGCCCATCAGCAATGTAGTAGGGTCCTCGAATCTGCTTATTCTGACAGCCTAGTACAGAAATAGGTAAGCCTGCTAATGCCAATTTGGTATCCTTCCAAAGGCAAGTGAAAGCTCCAGTAACTCCAACGCCCTTCGACCAGGTAGCCCAGTACAGTTAGATTGTCTTACTGATCTATACTAGTTCGCTCTCCGAATTGCTAGTAGGAATGCTCATAAAGTCCCCTTCGGTGGAAGAACTGGCTCTTAGGTGGGGAACAATAATAAGAACAGCTTCAGTGGAGAATGTGGTTAGGCCATCAAATTATCTGAAACTGTTTAATTTTTACATCCTTCCCTCCCTATTTGATCTTTAAGGTATGTTAATTATGCTAAAATTAGTTCTTTTAGATGAGTTGGTGTTGTCTTGACAATTCTATGTGATATTATTACAGTCTTGTGCCGGTGGCCCAAGGCAACCATGGCATGATTTACACTGTAAAATTGAGGGTCCGGCTGCTTATGATATAATGACCAATTTTGAACAAAGATGGAGAAAAGCAGTAAAATGGAGAGATTTTAAGATAAGAAAGGTCAGACACTGGCATGATGATGCCTTGCTAAAGCTAGACCGGATCTCGTGGATACTGTCTCCGTCTTCTAGTCCTGATGGTGACCGTGTTGTACATGTTACCAATGAAGAAGATCCTGAAAATTGGCATGTACAGGTTGGTGATTGATATTCCTATTATAACTGATGTATCTCTATTGCATTTGAACATGATTTAGGCCAATTATGATTGGTGGTTATCTACTCTTGCCAGGTGTTTCGATCAATAGATTCAGGGTCTGTCAAGGGATTTCCAAAGNAATGATTTAAGCCAATTATGATTGGTGGTTATTTACTCTTGCCAGGTGTTTCGATCAATAGATTCAGGGTCTGTCAAGGGATTTCCAAAGGATGTTAAGGAAGCCGAGGCACAGGTTAGTACTAGCCCACTAGGTGTATGCAATGCCTATAGAGTTCAGTATCTACTTAATTAGTTTCAACCAGGTTCTAGTCAATGAACTTTGTGCCCACTGTAGTATTGTTATTATGGGAGATCATGCTGAATGAAAATACTAGTTGTGTGGTTCCTCTAATCTCCGTTCTTATTTCAGAATCTTGAATGTGGAAAGAACTTGAAAATTGAAAGAAGCATACATGCAGCGTATGTGAAAGCAATAAGATCAGCACAACATTTTGTATACATAGAGAACCAGTATTTTCTTGGATCTTCATATTACTGGCCATCATACAAAAATGCAGGTGTGTAAATCACTATGTTTCCAATTTTTTATGTCCATCTTGCTAATTGTGATGAACTTTTATCGTTTTCTGTGCATCTAATAGCATCTTTGATACAAAGGCTGTCTCTGTTCTTACTAGAGCAGAGAGATGGTAGATTGGAATGTTCCTTAGAATCTCTCGTTCACTTGGCTACTCTTTGTGAATTTTTTTCATATGCACAACTGCAATTCTATGTCCTTGAAATAGCATTGCTGCAATCTATCTATGGAGTTTCCTTTGTGATGTCAGTTGTATGGATGTTACAGGGGCAAATAACTTAATTCCTATGGAGCTTGCCTTGAAAATTGCTAGCAAAATAAGGGCGAATGAACGTTTCTCTGTGTATATTGTGATTCCAATGTGGCCAGAGGGTGAACCCACTAGTTCTGCTGTACAGGAAATACTTTTTTGGCAGGTTAGACTTACCTATAAGTTCTCTACATTATAGAGATTTTCTGCAGCAAATGGGCTCGTGTTTCTAGGTTCACAATTTCTGCATTTATCTAGGAGAAAATGTGATTATTATTTGAGTCTGCTCTTTTCTAAGAGTTTATTCTTCTTTTTTTAAAGACTAATATGATATGCAACTGCCTACAGGGGCAGACGATGGCTATGATGTACAAAGTTGTTGCCCACACTCTTGAAAAGGCAGGCCTTTCCGAAGCATATCACCCACAGGATTATTTGAATTTTTATTGCCTTGGTAAGCGCGAAGCTTCATCTCCACAAAGTAGACCTCAAGCTGATCTGTCTACTGAGAGCGGCACATTGGTATGGTACTTTTCCTATTCTGGGAAATTGTTAATAAGGTTGAAATTATGCTGGGGACTTGTTTACGAGTGCATATGAAAATCAATACCTGGGGGCTAAATGGAGGCATTGCTGCTTAATTTATGGATAATTTCAGGTTTTAAAGGCTCTTGTGATGCTCCTGCCATTTACAATGCCCTAGTTATGTTTGTTACAAATAATGCATGGCAATATTTCTTGTATCAAATTGCTGATTATTCTCTGTTTGGTGGTGGTGGTGGGGAGAGAAGGGGGGGGGGAGATAAGTTGTACCTGAAATTAATTAAGCTGTCTTATTGTACACTAAGGTGGGCTAATGTGAATGGAGTCCCATGGATTTTCTAGCAACAATAACATCAACAATGTTTTAGGAAGTGGGTTTTCACTCATTTCTATAGGTGAGAGATGGGAGTTCAGAAGAACAAAAAAAACGGAAATGGGTGGCTGAGCCAGCTGCTACCTCAGCTCAGCCATTGCCTTGATGTTGAACAAACCTATGGTGTTACTCTGTGTTGAAATAGGCTAATAATATATGGAATATGGCTTGTATCCTGGTCCTTATCAAGTTTGTCATGTGCTTTTTCTTCAAAGTGGAAGTCCGATATTGAGTTTAACCACAATTTGGTTTACATCTGAAATACTTTCCTTTTTGTACTGTTGCACAGGGATTAGCTCAAAAGTTCCGCAGATTTATGATCTACGTCCATGCCAAAGGGATGATAGTTGATGATGAACATGTTTTAATGGGATCTGCAAACATAAATCAGAGATCTATGGATGGTTCAAGGGACACTGAAATTGCTATGGGAGCTTATCAACCAAATTACACTTGGGCAGGGAAGAATATTCATCCTCATGGCCAGGTTTGACACTTAAAAAAAAACTAATGTTTTGCTTGTTACAGATACTAAAATGGTAATAACTGCAATGTACGGACTAAGATAATTTGACCCTTGCAATGAAATTTGTCCGAAACTTGTTACGAGGGCTCTGATCATAACTGATTGCTTGGGTTGAGCAAGAAAAATAATGGAAGAAGTTTTCTTATCTAAGAAAAGATTACTGAATAGAATTAATTTGATTAAGTGGGAAACAAGATTGAAGTGCTCAATATAGAACGAAACTTCTAATCTTAGTATTAAAGATATGATTGGATACAGAGAGACCTATCACAATCTACATAGTTTCTCTGTATAGTCTGGACAAGTATAGATTATATGTATGTGTGATATTTATCTGTCTTGGGGATTTCTTATGCAGTAAATAGGGTTGAGATCATGTATACAATTACTGATTAATAGCGCATCAGATGTAGCTTGTTAGATGTTTGGTCCATTGATGTAGGCATAATTTTTCTTTAATATCACAATGGTTCCAAGTGGTTGACCATGGGACTATCAATGGAGCATAGTATGTCATGGCCAGACACAGGCGTAACCCATGGAAGATTAGAGTAGTAGATTAAGTCTGGTTACAAACCAAACCAAACCAAACATTATAGTGGATCCGACAAAGTTTTACGCTAACTGTTGGCTACCTAACGCAACCCTCCTCCTTTATCCTGACTTGGGACAGGTAGTGTTGAATACAACACTGCCGGAGTTTAGATTAAGTCTGGTTCTTGGAAAACAAAACAAACTCAGTACAACATGTGGAGAGAGTCGTGGTTCAAACTCAAGTTTCACATGCAAAGGGGAGTTGAAACCTGAAGTGGTTCACACGGTAGGGAGAGATTGCTGACTTTTACGTATGCATCAAAAGAAAAAAATAATAAGGACACCTTAATAGGCTATGTATGAGTTCATTAAGTGAGGGGGTTAAGTTTCAAACATGTATGTGTATTACATATTCAGAATCAAACAAGTTTCAAACATGTATATTAAGTCTTCAAAATCAAACCACAGGTGTGACAGCTTAGTGACCATAATTTGTCATTCTAGACATAAAAACCTTGTATAGAAATATTTTATTTTGATATAGCTGTTGCATGAAACAACAAATAAATTAGAAGTTCTAATTGTAAATTTTTGAATATGTCACTTTCCATTTTTATCCATTTCAAGAACAATTTTGTTGAATGCAGGTGTATGGGTATAGGATGTCTCTATGGGCTGAACACCTTGGAACCCTTCAAAACTCTTTCCATGAGCCACAGACTCTTGGATGTGTTAGGAAAGTCAATCAGATTGCCACACAAAACTGGAAGGCATTCGTGGCGGAGGATCACAAAGAAATGATGGGGCACTTGATGCAATATCCTATTCAAGTAAGCAGAAGTGGAAAGGTGAGTCCACTGCCCGGTCACGAAAGCTTTCCTGATGTGGGTGGTAAGATTATGGGAGCACCTACCAATCTCCCTGATGTGCTTACCACATAACAATTTCATCAAAGATTTAAGCTAAAATGCTAAATGAAACATAANTATATGTATGTGTGATATTTATCTGTCTTGGGGATTTCTTATGCAGTCAATAGGGTTGAGATCATGTATACAATTACTGATTAATAGCGCATCAGATGTAGCTTGTTAGATGTTTGGTCCATTGATGTAGGCATAATTTTTCTTTAATATCACAATGGTTCCAAGTGGTTGACCATGGGACTATCAATGGAGCATAGTATGTCATGGCCAGACACAGGCGTAACCCATGGAAGATTAGAGTAGTAGATTAAGTCTGGTTACAAACCAAACCAAACCAAACATTATAGTGGATCCGACAAAGTTTTACGCTAACTGTTGGCTACCTAACGCAACCCTCCTCCTTTATCCTGACTTGGGACAGGTAGTGTTGAATACAACACTGCCGGAGTTTAGATTAAGTCTGGTTCTTGGAAAAAAAACAAACTCAGTACAACATGTGGAGAGAGTGGTGGTTCAAACTCAAGTTTCACATGCAAGGGGGAGTTGAAACCTGAAGTGGTTCACACGGTAGGGAGAGATTGCTGACTTTTACGTATGCATCAAAAGAAAAAAATAATAAGGACACCTTAATAGGCTATGTATGAGTTCATTAAGTGAGGGGGTTAAGTTTCAAACATGTATGTGTATTACATATTCAGAATCAAACAAGTTTCAAACATGTATATTAAGTCTTCAAAATCAAACCACAGGTGTGACAGCTTAGTGACCATAATTTGTCATTCTAGACATAAAAACCTTGTATAGAAATATTTTATTTTGATATAGCTGTTGCATGAAACAACAAATAAATTAGAAGTTCTAATTGTAAATTTTTGAATATGTCACTTTCCATTTTTATCCATTTCAAGAACAATTTTGTTGAATGCAGGTGTATGGGTATAGGATGTCTCTATGGGCTGAACACCTTGGAACCCTTCAAAACTCTTTCCATGAGCCACAGACTCTTGGATGTGTTAGGAAAGTCAATCAGATTGCCACACAAAACTGGAAGGCATTCGTGGCGGAGGATCACAAAGAAATGATGGGGCACTTGATGCAATATCCTATTCAAGTAAGCAGAAGTGGAAAGGTGAGTCCACTGCCCGGTCACGAAAGCTTTCCTGATGTGGGTGGTAAGATTATGGGAGCACCTACCAATCTCCCTGATGTGCTTACCACATAACAATTTCATCAAAGATTTAAGCTAAAATGCTAAATGAAACATAACTGTTCAAACCACTCTAGTGCATTGCATTTGAAGGAAGGAGGGGGGCTATGATACAAGGATTTTGATGCAAGAAAAAGCAGTCCGGGGGGGGGGGGGGGGGGGGGGA